GGATCGCCTCCAATGTGCCTGGACTGCAGCCAGCACTGCATCCTCAGGTGCCCCGTAGGACAGCGCGTGTGCAGAAGCACAACATTCTATCCCATCCTTTCTCCAAGGCCAGGACCCCATGCCTGCACACACCCCCACCCCCGTCCCCAAATCCTGTATGGGGGTCAGGGAGAGGGAGTCAGTTCTTCTCAGAGCACACGAGATGGCTGCTGACTGTGTTGTCCTGAAAGAAAACAAAGTTTGTAAATCACTGTAGACGGTTTGTTTTATAATAGATATGTCGGGAGGGAAAATGACTATGGTAAATTCCTTTCTTAGCCACACATGAACTCAGAGCATTTTTGAGCTACACAGTCACATAGACTGAGTTCAAGGAGCAAAGACAGGCAGTCTGCGTTTCAGACTAGGGAACCATTTGGAGGTGACATCTACAGAAAAATGCACAGCTTTGAGGTTTCACATGGGTGGTTCCTTATCCAATGTCATCGCCAAAGTCATGGAAAGGAATATTTGAGTTTTCCATGTTAACTCTGCATTGTAATCATCCCTTATTGCTAATATGCATTTCTATCTGTTACTGAGAACAGGGATAACCAGCTTCAAGAACATTCTACATGGAATGCTATGCCCCTTAGAAAAGAGTTCAATTAGGAGGTGATTATTCAAAATTACAAAATGACACTTTATAAAGTCTGAAATTTACCAGGGAATTAAAGAAAAGTAAGTTCCTCTAGTATACAGTGGGCCATTGAATAACACACGTTTGAACTGCACAGGTCCACCTATATGTGGATTTTTTTCTGTCTTTGCCACTCTTGGGACAGCAAACCAACCCCTCCTCTTCCTCTTCCTCCTCCTCAGGCTGCTCAACGTGAAGACAAAGATGAAGAGCTTCATGATCATGCACTTCCACTTAATGACTTGTAAATATATTTTCTATTCCATGTTTTCTTAATATTTTCTTTTCTCTAGCTTACTTTATTCTAAGAATATAATGTATAATATAACCTACACATATGTGTTAATGGATCATTCATGGTACCAGTAAGGCTGCCCATCGAAAGTAGGCTCTTGGTTGTTAAGTTTTTGGGGAGTCAAAGGTTGTTCTTGAATTTTTGACTTCACGAGGAGTTGGTGCCCCCAACCCCTGCATTGTTCACGGGTCAACTGTACTTAAATAGCATTAGATTTTTAAAAATGTAATCAGCATATGCTTGTTAAAGATATACACAGATGGCATTGGAGAGGCAGGCAGGCATGCATACCTCTTTTCATCCTCAGCTGTGGCATCCAAAGTGTAGCCATTGCAGACACCACTGTTTTTCTCCAACAAACAATACTGTCTCCCTTTCAATTCCACTGATGGATGTTCACTACCATTTTCCTTAAGCTGTTGTGATAGTAGAAGCCGCAATTACTGTAGTCATGAAAATCAGGGTCTAACTTTATTACCTAATCATTATGACAATTATCCCTCCAGTTTTCTCTTTGTCCATGCACACACATTTCTAAGGCATGTATTTTCGTTACCAGACAGAGAAAGGCCTATAGGTCAACCGCACACACTCCATGCTGATAAAGTAGTGTCATTAACTTTTGATTAAAAAAAGGACGCAAATTACAGCCCTTTATTCCTGGATTGTGGTTCCCCCCCCCCTTAGGAGCTCAAAGCAAAAACAAGATGGCCAATGCATATCTTTTTTTATTAGCGTTATTTTAGTAAAGTCAGGTAGTATGTTTTTTTGTTCAGAACAAGTTTTGTACCCACCAGCCACAGTGGCTGCAGTTGGTTCCAGGCTTCCTTTGGCCCATTGGGGAAGGTTTTTGAACCCTTGGCTTTTTTTGGTTTTTCGGGGGGGGAAACCAAGTTCTCTTTTCTTTACTTAAGGTTTTTTTTTTTGGGGGGGTTCCGGGTTGCGGGGTTGGGGCCGGGTTGGGGCTTGGCCGGCGTTTTTTTTTTTTGATTGTTTTCCCACTTCCCCCTTCTGGAGCGCTCAGCCTGCCCCTGCTGGGCTGCCTATCTCTGTCGTGCAGAGCTCTGAGGCTTAAGCTGCAGGAGGGTAACTCGTGCTCTGTGGTGGGTGCCAACACTGCTTCTGCTGCTGTACTCCTGTGTAAACCCATCGCTCTTCCGTGCTCCACTCGCCTCTGTAAGTTGATATAACAGCAATAACAGCAACCACCAAACCAACTGCCAAATAAATGTGAGATTTACCAACAGGTCTGGAGACCACTCACTGTCACTAAGTACCCAGCAGTTTAAAGCACAGGGCCTGGTGCCAGAGAGCCTGGGTCCTTATTCCAGCTTTGCCACTCCTTTCAGCTGTGTGATCGTCGGCAAACTATTAATACTTAAACTTTCTGTGTTTCGATTTCCCTGTCTGCGAAAAATGGGTCTAAGCACACGACTTACTGCAGAGGCTGTTGGGAGGATTAAATGATGCGTAGAGTGCTTTGAGCACGGCCCACAGCAAGCCCTGGATGAACGCTGGTTTTCGTGATGTGAGGTATTTCCAGATGAGGCTAAAGCAAGCACTTCTAAACCCAACCAGTTCTTCTGCTGCTCGGGACCAGACTTCAGGATCCTTAGAAACAACCTCTGCTACTTAGTAATCCTCTATACCCACCACTCCCTGGAAGTAATTATCACCGCAGCTGCCAGTGACTTCACTGTGACCATCTCCAAGAGGCTCTTGTCTCTCTAATCCTTTCTGAGTCATCTGCCACTTTTGATATCACTCCTTGGAGTCATTTTCTCACTTTGACTCTTAAAGTAACATGCTGTGCCTACTGAACGTCTTTCCCTGTGGATTCACTTGAAGTGTGTGTTCTCCGCCGTTTCACCTCCTCCAGTTCTCCAACTCCGGGCTGGAGTGTCAGCACTTGTCACATAGTAGATGCTCAGGAAATGTCTGTGACCTGACTTGAACTGTGTCATTGAGGTAGTTCCTCAGCTCTGTCCCTCTGTATCATCTTCTTGATATTTGAGCCCTTGCAGCTCTTCCTGAGAGCTCTCTGCTACGATGACACAAACCCTTAAAGTGACCTGGTTCCTGGTCCACCCTTTTCTCCCTTTGAGCCTTGAAAATTTTTTTATAGTTAAATCAACCTATTTCAAGTTTCCACTTTTGGGGAGGTGTTTAAATTTCACTTTATTCAGGAAACAGGAACCAAATCCCCCAAACATCAAAACTACATAACTATTTAGTATTATCCTGAATATAACTGCTCTCAGGAGGTACGAGATGCATGTTAACAAGGGAATCATCTTCTCTGAGGGATGGAACCCAAGAATATACATTTAAAAAAATAAAGTTAATTTTTTAAAGACAGTAAAGCGTGTTGAACCGTTGGTTTAATCTTGCCTGAACCCGTCAGCCACACATCTGAGTTCAGGACTGCTTCAGCTGGATGAAGGTCATGGCTCTATGATAGTCAAGGTCAATTACAATGTTAGCTTATAACATTAAAAACAAAAAGAACAGCTCTCTCCCCCCCACCACACACACACTTTCTGAAGTGAACTGTACATAATTAAAAAAAAAAAAATTAGTCATTATTCTGGGTCATTGACACCATCACGCTGGCTTGTAATGACCAGGGCTAATGTCTCTGTCAGCACAGTAGGGCCATGGTACTTTTAGCAGCCCTTGAAATGCTTTAATTTCTTTTAAAACCAAAAGTAAACAGTTAATATAATAAAAGTTAATATAATAATTATATATGTAATTTATAAGAACTAATCCAGTCTAGATGCTATTTGTCTTTATACCACCGCAGTTGTAGGATATAATTTTGTTGGTTTTTTTTTTTTTTTTTAATGGGGGAAGGGGCCCAAAAATGCCCATGACATTTCCAGGAACCAAAGAGGTCGTAATGTGGCTCTAGTAATGACAACTAATTTCGTTAAGGTTCATGTATTCATATTAGGTATTCCTGGAATATTTTTCTATTTTTTTTTTTTTTTTTTTGCCCAGGCTTTGTTTTTTGTTTTTTTGTTTTTTTTTTTTTTTTTTTCCCATTCCCCCGGGGCGGGATTCCTTTTCTTGGTTTTTTTTCCGGTTTTTTTTTGGATTGCTTCCCGTTTTTTTTCTTTTTTTGCCTTTTTGTTGGATTTTTGTTTTTTTGTTTCCACCGGCTGTTTTGGTTTTTCCTTTTTTGGTTTTCACCCTTGGTTCACCGGCAAACACATGGTGGCCAAGTTCACGGTCCTCCCCTACTCTCCGTTCTGCTCTCTTGCTTTTCCTGTCTGTTAGAATGCCTGCTAGTTCTGCAGTCAGTAGTGAGCTCATCTCCTCCTCCACTCCTTTATCTGAGCATCCGGTTGAGCCCCAGGTCCTGTGCCCTCCTCTGTCCCTGGTGGCGTCTCGCTGCCTGACCCTCGGCATATCGTCCTGAGTCTCATCCGAGTTCCTGACACAGACTCCTGACCGACTTCTCTGCATTCCAGCTTCCTGCTGCAAAACAGCCCCTGACCCTTGCTGAACTGATCCTAGCACTGGTCTGTCATTGTCCTCGTCTGCTCAGTAATTCCTCCACCTTAACCCGAACTTCTCACCCGCTCTGTAAGGCCCTGCTCAGGTGGTTGCCTTCATTCTGTCTAACGTGTCTCCCAACACATTAACACCCAGCAAAGGTGATGATTAAGGAGTCTCTTCACTCTCCCGTGAACTGGACTTCCTGTCTTTGTCTTTTGTGCCTGCTTGTCCATGCATTCATTTGTTCAGTTTTGGGCTAACGACTCCATCCCAGGCACAAACACCTTAAATGTTCCCCATTTCCTATTCCAACCCTGTACAGCCTTCTGAGCTCAGGTCTAGTCCCCATCCGTGGAGTTCCAGGTCCTCCTACTATCGAAATCTTTTTCCTCTAAAGTCTCAAGACATTTGAAGACACTGGCACAGAATTTAGCACTTAGTTAGATATGTGATGTGAGATTTCCTGACCGTGTCATGCATGCTGTCTAGTCTGAGTTGGGAAAGCAAAGGTCTTTACAGAAGATCTACTTTTCTATCACCCACATGTACCTGACATCAAGTCTAAAGCCGGGCTAGTCATGCTAACCCACTAATTATTAATAATAACTATTTTCAAGAGCCTAATACACTATGATCCGGGCACTGACTACACCACGTACACTTATCTCTATGAGGTTTATAGCATCATTCCTTTTTTACAATTGAGGAAACTGAGGCTCAGAAAGGTTAAGTCACTTGCTGCATTTTACATAGTTTTGACATAGTGTTCATTGTATTTTTATGAATTTTTAAGGGCTGAAAATAACTCCTTGAGATGTTTGTGGGGGAACATAACTGCAAAATGAAATCTGTGGTAGAACTATGTCCTATAGCTTGCCCTCTCATTGCTGGCAGATGGCAAAGTATTTCTTTGCCTGCTAGCCCTCTGGTGGAATTGGTCTCCTTGTATCTGCCGTTGCCTTCTGTGGTACAAACTGCTACTTGTCTCCCAAGGTTCTTTCTTGGTAACAAAATAGTAGGTTTTATTAGGATAATAATAGCTGGGCTCATTGTCCCAGTGGCAGAGGCTGCTGGCTCATCATGCCATGAACCCATGTCATCTTCTCGGGCACAGCTAAATGCCATTTCTCAGCCATTTCTCGCAGTTATATACAGCCGTGTGCTTGAGTTCTGGCCATTAGAGAGTGGAAGTGATATGTCACTTCTAGTCCTGGCCCTAAGAAACCTCTTCCACTGGTCCTCCATGCTCTTTCTCTCTCCACAGCTTGATGCAGATAAGGCAGAAGCACAAGAAAGAAAGAACTTGGGTCTCTCCATCACTTCTTGGAGAAGCACCACCTGCCAATCAAGAACATCATTTTGGACTTCATATGAGTGAGAAATATACTTGTATCATATTTGAGCCATTAAATATGTTTGGGTTTCCATGTTCTAATAGCTATACATACCATACTAACCCCGATAGCATAAGAGAAAGACCATATTTCTCAGCCCCACCTGTTAAGTATAGCCATGTAACTAAATTCTGGCCAATGACATGTCAGCAGAAGTGTTTTGTGTGACTTTGAAGGAAGGTGCTTAAAGGAAGTTGATTTAGATGGTATAGAAAATATTCTGTCTTCTTTTGCTTCCCCTCTTGTATAGTCTAGAACTCAGATGTAACATCAGGAATTCTTTTGACCATCTTGCAACCTTGTGGGTGGGAACCTTTTACTAAGACAATGGGGTGGAGATAGTGGAGATATAGCGGAAACTAAGTCTTTGATGGACATGAAGCTGTTGGGCCTATCCTGGACCCCTCACCCCCTGCACAAGGCTTTCGAGTTGGAGAAATCTCTTTCTTGTTTTAAGCCGCTATTTCATTTCCCGTGCAGCCGAACCTCATGTCATAGAGCCACACGTTCTTTCCATAGCAATAAGAATGATTATTTTAAGATTTAAATCAAGTCGTGTCACTTCTTGGCTGCGAACCCCTGAACGACTTCCAATTTTTCTTAGAATTAAATTCATATTTTTACCATGGCTTGGGAGGCCCCGATTGATTTATCTCCCGCGTACCTCACCAATCCCACCCCAGTGACGCCAGCCTGCCTCTGTTCCTCTGTAGTGACAAGTCCTTCTCATCCCTGAGACCCTACTGAAGAGGCCACCTTTTCAGAGCAGTTCTCTGACATCCTACCTGCTACAGGCTCTCCCAGTTTTTCTCTGTCTCAGCACCCTGTTTGTTTCCTATGTAACACTGATCGCAGTCTCTGATGATCTGGTTGGTGTATTTATTCGTTTGTTTGTCACCGTCTCCCCAACTCTAGTGTCATGAGGCAAGGGCGGTCTCCAGTACAACACAGCACCCGATGTGTAGGGAGCCCTCACCAAGTATTCACTGGACGGATGAATGACCTCGCAGGCAAGGTTACTGTCAATTTGATGGCACCCAAAGAAATTTGTCCCAAGTATGGAAGCACTTTGCGTAGAGTTTGCAAATGTATGTACTCTTGCTCACTTTTTATGTATTGTTGATAGTTTGTTAATGCTTTGTACCGTGTGTTTTGTTGTCAATATTTCCTGTATATAAGTTGATTTTTACTAATTAGATTTCTCGTTTTGAGAAAATTGTAGATTCACATGCGGTTATAAGAGATAATGCAGAAAGATCCCAGGTATCCTTTACCCAGCTTCCCCTGTGGCAACAACTTACAAAGCTACTGTACAATATCACAACTAGGATATTGACATTGATGATAGTTGAGTTATAGAACATTTCCAACCACAGACATCCCTCAATTTGTCCTTTCATAGCCTCACCTTCTTCCCGCCTTCCCCCAGTCCCCATTCCTGAGCCCAGCAACCACAAGTCTGTTCTCCATTTGTCTTGTCAAGAATACCATATATATGGCATCATACAGTAGGTGAACTTTGGGACTGGCTTTTTTTATTTCACTTAGCATAATTCCCTTAAGATGGACCCAGGTTGTTGTGTGTATTAATGGTTTGCCTTTCATTATAGCTAAGTAGAATTCCATTTTATAGTTGTACTACAGTTTGTTTAACCATTCTCCTATTTAAAAATGTCTATATTGTTTCCAGTTTTTTGCTATTACAAATTTTTCTAAATGTTATAAACCCTTGAGTACAGATTATTGCAAATGTTTTCTCCCAGTCTGTAGCTTGTCTTTCATCTTCTTAGCAGATTATTTTGCAGAGTAAGAATTGATCATTTTGATGAGGTCCCATTCATTGATTTCTCCTTTTATGGATTATGCCTTTGGTGTCAAATCTGAGAAGTTTTCCTGTTTTATTCTGACTTATGTTTTACATTCAAGCTTGTGATCTATTTTGAGTTATTTTTTGCATAAATTATGAGGTATGGTTGAGGTTCTTTTTTTTTTTGTCTATGGATATGCAATTGCTCCAGCTACATTTGTTGAAAAGGCTATCCTTCCTTTATTGAATTGCTTTTTCACCTTTGTCAAAAATCAGTCGTGTGCATATTTGTATGGGGCCTCTATTCTGTTTCATTTATCTATGTGTCTATCTCTCCACTAATACCACACTCTCTTAATTACTACAATTATATAGTAGGCCTTAATATCAGGTAAGGTGATACCTTACCCTTTATTCTTTTTCAATATTGTTTTATCTATTCTAGATTCTGTGCCTTTCCATATAAATTTCAGAATAAATTTGCCTGTGTCTACAAAAGCCTTACTACGATTTTGATAGAAATTCTATCAACCCTGTAGATCAATTTAGGGAGAAGTGACATTTTTACTCATATTGAATCTTCCAATCCATGAGCACATATGTCTCTCCTTTAATTTAGATCTTCTTTGATTGCTTCATCAGCATTTCATAATTTTCAGCATACAGATCCTGTACATGTTTTAAGTTTATAACTAAGTATTTTGTTTTCCTTGGAATAGTTGTAAATAATTGTATTATGCTTTTGATTTTCAAATATTTATTGTTAGTATATAGAAGTGTGATTGATTTTTGTGCGTTTGTATCTGCCACCTTGCTGAACTCACTTATTAGTTGTAGGAGTTTTATTTGAAGATTTTCTGGGATTTTCTATATAAGGATTCATGTCATCTTCAAATAGGGACAATTTATTTCTTCCTTCCCAATCTATATGCCTTTTGTTTCTTTTTCTTGTCTTATTGCAATGGCTAGAACTTTCAGTATTATGTTGAATAAGGCTGGTGATAGTGGACACCCTTGCTTTGCTCCCAAGCTTACAGGGAGAACATTCAGTCATTTAACATTAAGTATGATGTTAGCTATAGGTTTTTTGTTTGTTTGTTTGTTTGTTTTGTTTTGTTTGTGGATGTTCTTTATCAAGTTGAGGTAGTTCTCTCTAATCTTAACTTACTGAGAGTTTATATCATGAAGGGGGGTTGGATTTTATCAAATACTTCTACATTGATATGATCTTATGGTTTTGCTTCTTTAGCATGATGATATGATGGATTACATTGATTTATCTTCCTAATGTTGAACCAGCTTTGTAAACCTAGAATTATTCCATTTGGTCATGGTATATAATTCTTTTTATACATTGTTAGATTCAATTGGCTCATATTTTATTAGGGATTCTTTCTGTATAAGCTCATGAGAGATATAGGTCCGTAGTTTTCCTTTTTCTTGTAATACTGTTTTTATCTTGTTTGCATATCCAGGTAATACTGGCTTCATAAAATGCTTTGGGAAATGTTCTCTCCTCTTCTGTTTTCTGGAAGAGATTCTGTAAATTTGATTTTAATTCTTTAAATGTTTGGTAAAATTCTTCAGTGAAATCATATGGGTTTGGAGATTTCTTTTTCCTATGTTTTCTTACAAATTCAATAACTTTAATGGTTAAAGGACTATTCAGATTATTTCTTTTATGTCAATTGAATTTTGGTAGTTTTGCTTTTCAAGGAATTGGTACATTTCTAAGTTGTCAAATTTAAAATCCTTTTGCTGTCTGCAGGATAGTCATATTCTCTGTTTTGTTTCTGATGTTGGTGATTCGTGTATTCTCTCCTTTTATTTTTGTCAGTATATTTGTCAGGTAACCTAGACATTTATTGATTTTATTAATTTTTTTAAAGAACCAAGTTTTTGTATCATTGATTTTCTATTTGTCTCATTTTTCTTTATTTTTCCATTGTCCCTGACTTCTTTTGGATTACTTGAGCACTTTTTGTGGTTTTGAGGTGAAAAGGAAGATTAGAACTGAAGATAAACATTATAGTGCCTTCCTGGAAAATGGCAATATCTATCCCATGAAAGAGTACCTTCCATTTTTTTTTCCTTTACATTTATTACAAATAGTGGTTGCTTTTCTAAGTAAAAAAACCCCAAAAAACCCTTGCTCCTTATGTGCTGTGTTCAGAAATCACTGAGTCAAATAGATTATCCTTATGAAGAAAACTCTGATGTAAAAATAGAAAAAATTCACTTAACATTTTTTGTTCTTTTTCATTTGTTTGTTTTTATCTATGTCTGTGTGTTACCTTTACTCCTGAAACAAGGACTCAGAAATTATGTAATACTCTAAAGTAGAGATTAACAGGAAATGTTCCTGGGTGATCTTGGTTTGCAAGAGGAACAAAGAATTTATTGTTATTGGTTCCTAGTGCAAAGTAATCAGAAGTTCCATGGAAGACACTGCAAGTTGACCTTATTAAAAATGACTTTAAAAATCAGGGTTGATTTGTAATTCTTGATCAGACGCTCAGAACAGGTTACCTTATTTTGTATAGTTTCACGGGCTTCTGTTGCTTTTTCCTGTTCAGCATCCATTTCTTCCTAAGATACCAGGAAGCTAGTTTTCTTCAGGAAAACACTCCTCCCTGACTCTCAGTCCCGGTCATTCTGGTGGGGTTGACTGTCACCCCCAGCCCCAGGAGTGGGCATGCAGTCCAAGTCTGGCCACTGAAAATCTTAACCAGGCTGGTGGTCCAGGAATGAGTATATGATAAATGCTGAGCCCGTCAGAGATAAGATTGCCAACCTCAGGAGTTATGCTAGAAGTACTGGAAAAGAGAAACTCTCTTTTGGGGTTGTTAAAGGGACAGAAATTTAGCCTGAAGCTTCTGGTGGGCATCTTGTCAAAAAACAGGGCTTGCTTGCTTGATAATGAAGACCAGAGAGAGGAAGGGAAAGCTGAAGCCAGGAGAATATTCCTGAAGACTTTGAAGATCTGGAACCACCCCTGAACTTTTTTAGGTACATAAACAAATATATTGCCCTTATTTGAATTTTATTTCTCTCACTTGCAATTGAGAATCTTGACTATACACTTAATTTGTTACTAAATTATTAATAATTAAGATATAAATATTTTTATAACTTCCTTCATGAAATTCCCTGTAATTGGAAGAAAGATGGCCACCCCTACCCAAAGTATCTCTTATGACCAGTATTCATTTAGCAGAAAATGTAGGTTCCTTTTGCTAATACAAAATCTAAAGATTTTTTTGTGTGTGTACTTTTATAGTTGCCTGAATGTTCTTTTTTTCCTCTCTCTCTCTCTCTCTTTTTTTAGCGACAGAGTCTCACTAAGTCACCCAGGCTGGAGTACAGTGGCATGACCACAGCTCACTGCAACCTTAAACTCCTGGGCTCAAGTGATCCTACTGCCTCAGCCTCCTGAGTAGCTGGAACTACAGGAATGCACCACCACACTTGGCTATTTTTTTTTTGTAGAGATGGGGGCTCGCTGTGTTGCCCAGGCTGGTCTTGAACTCCTGGCCTCAAGCAATTCTCCCATTTTGGCCTCCCAAAGTGCTGAGATTACAGGTATGAACCACTGCACCCAGCTGAATGTTCTTTATTTGTTTGTCTCGTCCCTGCAATTCATATTAAGTAGTACCGTGTTTCCCCGAAAATAATACCTACCAATAAAATAAGCCCTAGCAGGATTTCTAAGCATTTGCCCAATATAAGCCCTAGCCCAAAAATAAGACTTAGTGACAGGCGTGGCTACGCAGTGTATCTGCACAACCCATGCATTTCATCGCGGATCAGTAAAGAAGATGAGCAGCCCTTCTCATCTGCCCTATGAGAGCTCTATTGTTCAACATGAGAGATTGAGGCCAATGATTCTGAAGGAAATATAGTCCCAAGAAATTCAGGATGGAATTTGGGGTTTGGAGAGTTAGGATGATGTTCCAGAAGAAGACGACTTAACTATATTTGAATAAATGTAGATTGTTGTACCATACTTAAAAAAATAACACATCCCCTGAAAATAAGCCCTAGGGTGTCTTCTTGAGGAAAAAGAAATATAGGAGCCTGTCTTATTTTCAGGGAAACACGGAAGACAACGCACACGTCTTTATAACGCTCAGGGAGGTGCCACTTGCCTGCCATAAGCAGCTTAGTGATGGTTTCTGATGGCAAGAAAAGGCAACCATTCTTCCTATAGTTTTGTGCAGAAATCTTCCTGCCTCTCCCCTGGGGGCAGCCAGAAGTGAGATGAAAACGTCTCTCTTGTAGCCCTCCTTTCCCAGACTTTTAGCTCCTGTTGAGGCCAACCCTTTGCCTGGGGAGCGCGGCGTGAAGGGCTTGGGCCCGCCACTACTTTGCATGCAGGATGCCGTGTACGGCAGGGCATGACACAGAACCGGCAGCAGCAGGCACCGCACCCTAGGTGGAGAGAGCCGTGCTGGAGGGCAGGGTCCCAGCGCAGGTGAGCAGCGCACAGCGCAGAGTACGGGGGTTATTTTGTGATCTTCCAGGTGGCATTTTGGCTTATTATTCAAGTCTTCCAACTGTCGCCAAAGGGAACAGTACTACACGTGGAACTGGATTCTTTATGCCAATGAATTCATTAGGGGAAAACGCTTCCAATGCAAATGATTGAAATGGAAACAAGATGTGCACTTTGCTGCCTAAATAAAAAGCTTTCCCAGGTAGGCCATCCAGACTCAATTAAGAGCGGCGACACAGGAGCGCTCAGCATAGTGGCTGCAACCCCTGGTGCTGGGGACGCGCGGCGAGCGTCCAAATGGATGGGGGCACTGAGTGGCACCTGATTTACAGCAGGAGCTCAGCACTTTTACGCTCTTTGCCACTTCACTGGAACAAGGAGAAAAAGACATTAAGATGAAAGATAATGTGCTATCCACACATAAAGATGAAAGAGAGAGGGAAATGTCACTTATTGGAAAGTGCACTTTAGGTTGTTCTGTCCTCTCTCCTCTGAAAACACACTCCATGTTGCTTTAACCATCTGTGGCCCATTCCAGAGCTCGAGAAACCCCGGCTTCTCTGCTTCATTGTCAGACACAGCCACAGGAAACTGCAGCGAAAAACGGCAGCGAAAAACGGCAGCGAAAAAAGAAAACGAATGCATTTTACTCTCAGCAGTTTACTGTCTCCGCTGAGAAAAGAGCATGAATGTGTCAAATCCCTGTGTTGTGGGCGGAACTGTGTCCCCCACGAGGCTCTGGTGAAGACCTGACCCATGGTACATGTGAATGTGATCTTATTTGGAAATAGGGTCTTGTAGACCTGATGGAGTGAAGATGAGGTTGGATTAGGGTGGGTCTGATCCAATGTGACTGGTGTCCTGGCAAGAACAGGGGAAGAGACACGAGGAAAACACTGTGTGATGATGGAGACCAAGATCCAAGGGTGATCTTGGTCTTGATACCTCTACAAGCCCAAAACGTCAAGGACTGCCAGTAACACCAGAAGCTAAGAGAACAGCATGGGACAGACTGTCCCCTAGAGCCTTCAGAGAAAGCATGGCCCTGCAAACACCTTGCTTTTGGACTTCCTTTTAAAAAAATTATTATTTGTGTGTATATTCATGGGGTCCAAGTGCAATTTTGCTACATCGATATATTGCACTGTGATGAAGTCGAGGTCTTCAAGTGCATCCATCTTCAGAGGATTTCAGATTTCTAGCCACCAGAATTGTAAAAATAAATTTCAGGGTTTTTTGTTGTTTGATTTTTTTTGAGACAGAGTCTCACTCCTGTTGCCCCGGCTAAAGTGCTGTGGCGTCAGCCTAGCTCACAGCAACCTCAAACTCCTGGGCTCAAGCGATCCTCCTGCCTCAGCCTCCTGAGTAGCTGGGACTATAGGTATGTACCACCATGCCCGGCTAATTTTATATATATATATATATATTTTGTTGGCCAATTAATTTCTATTTTTAGTAGAGAAGGGATCTAGCTCTTGCTCAGGCTTGCCTGGAACTCCTGAGCTCAAACGATCCGCCTGCCTCGGCCTCCCAGAGTGCTAGGATCACAGGCGTGAGCCACCATGCCCGGCCTCTGTTGTTTTAAGCCACACAGTTTCTAGTAATTTGTTGTGGCAGCTCTAAGAAGCTAATACACTCTGCTGAAGTATAAATGCAAAATGCTGCAAAACGCACTGCATGGATGGAAAGGGTATGGGAGAGCTGTCCCAAATAGGCATAATGAACCATGCAGCTTTCCAAGGATTCAAGATAGCTCATGGAGGTGAGGCGGGACAGATGTGCCCACGAGGCTGGGAGCACTTTGAAGACAGCACCCATGCTTGTTCTCCTCTGAATTCCTCCCTCTGTACCTGAAAACCAGAAGTGCTCAATAAATGCCAAAAATGTGAATGCATTAATGGGAGAACTATTCAGAAGAATGATTAACATTATTTTCTGATGTCACATAGGCACGTACCATCACCTTCCATGAAGTTGTAGCTATCAAAGATATCCAATTCGACCCCTTTGTTGGAGGAACCCACCCTTGGACATTGAAACACACAATTCTGGGTTTCTTTGAGATTGAATTTGGTCTTTGGAGCCCCAGTTGGCAGATGTGACCAGTAACTGCTTTTTTTTTTTTTTTTTTCAATCTTAAAATCCTACTGACACTGTGATTCTGCCACTCGGATGTGGCCTCAGTTTCTTAACTTTTATGGCAAGATATGTTACTCTCCATTTAAAATTGGCCCACCCACAGTGTCAGCCTCCTGTTTTGTGCATGAATTCATCTTAAATGCTTTCCGAGTCTCCAGGTGAGGGGTGCTGCCGTCGGTAACAACCAATACATGAAATAATACCAGGTATAAAATCAGCCACATGGGTCTCTTGGAGGTAAATAGAGCACATGCGTGTTTCATTTGCTGAAAGGCCAGAATTTCGATGCCTTTTAATGTCGAATGTGAACATGTTTTATAAACTGTAAACGGCTGTAAAGAAGTCAGTTATTATGTTTATTATTTTTCCTGTTCCATATCCTTGATTAAATGACAAACCCAAAGACTCAGTAAGTAGCCTTTTCACTTCTCTGGGCTCCAGTTTCCTTAACCAGATGAGGGAATTACATTTAATATCCCAAGGTACCAGCTAAATCTATTTTTTTTTCTTTGACTCTATGACACTATGAACAGGGGTCTATATCCATCTAAATTCCTGAAATGTGGGAATATGTTTGGTGACTCTATTGGTATATAATACTAAATTATTTTGCATAAATTTCTTAGAGTATGTTTTATATAATGTAGAAGGCAAAGAAATAAACTAAAATAAGGTGGGAAAGTAGGACATAAGAAGTTATAATGAGAAGCACTTAAGAAAATCCATCTATTATAATAATTAAAATTCGACTTACCTAGAAAGGGGGGAAGAAGATATTTATGATGAATATATTCTGAGCTCATTGCAAAGTAAATTTTCACAAAAATGGAGCAAAAGCTGCTGTGATGCAATTAGAAATTCCAGCTACCTTTGAAGGTAAACAACAAACTTAATGTTTTGTCTAGTTTGTTTCTACATAAAAGAAATAACCGAGATAACTCTAACTTTATCATTGCAAATAACCAAACACCATATTTGAAAATAGTCATTATTGAGGCTTATAAAATCAACAACTTTTTCTGTGGCTAAAATGCCCCCTCGACATTCCTGAAATCTGCTGGAATGCTGGAAAGAGCTGTGTAGAAATACAAAGGGTCAGGAAGTAATTTAGGATTTAATTCCATGGAATCAACGTTTCTTGTATATTTTTTTTACTTGCTTTTTTTAGACAATAGGCCTTTTGATTGTAGTGTCTGTTCTAGCCTTGAAACCAACTCCCTGCAGAGCAATTCCTGTTTCTGTGAAAGGTGCAGGAGGTGGCCCCAGGAACCCTGGATCACAGGTGACACAGGCCATGGATAACAAAGGCCTCTCTAGGGTTAGTGCTCCTGAGATGCTGGGGAATAGCACGAGAAGAAGGAGGAATTCTAAACTCTAAAGGTGACAAAGGTGGCCCAGGCTGGAGGAAAGGAGGCAATAGACTGGAGAAAACAAACAACCCCCCCCAAAAAAAACCCCAAACCTGTCATTTCTTTCCATAATTTCCTTTAGACTTTAATCCTTAAATCTTTTAAAAAAGCATTTTAAAAAAATATGTAACAAGCGCCATAAAAGTGTTTATATTCCCTTGTCCCTACTACTCTGCTTCTAGATATTTATCTTAAGAAAATAATCAGAAGTATGTATTAATAGAATGGTCCATGAATAAGCTTGTTCACTGGAGCATTCCTTATAACATAGGAAAAGTTGGAAACAAACCCAACATACAAAAGCAAGGAAACA